AATAACAACAACATAGTGTAGTTTTAGTTGTCAACAGTGTACAGTGTATACTTGCACCACAATCTACCCAATCGGCAGTTATATGCATTACATATACATATACTTACATACATGCTCTTATAATATACATATGTTTATACTCATATCTTAATGAAATAATCGTCTAGAGAACTCTTATACATTTTTCGTTTATTTTGAATTATTAAATATTATCTTTAAATTTTTATATATTATACTTCTATGAAAATTAATTTACTGCGCACAAAAAAATAATTAATGTGACATTCTACATAATTAGGAACTAACTAACACATGAAGATACCAATCGCCACCATCTCGACAAGCAATGATTTTCGAAAGTATTTCCTAAATAAAGAGCTTCACATGAAAGCTTGGCCAACATCGAGATCCTAACCCTAAATTGAACATAAGCTATTTCAATATTTATTTAAGGGTTATGCTTGAAATCATTTCATTTACTCAATATTTCGTAGCTTCTAACTACGTCATAACCGAAACGAACTGTCAAACTTTTATAGCAAATGTTATCAAATCCTTAACCTACTTTCGTTCATGCCGTTAAGAATCAAGGTATTTTTCCGTTAAATGCACATCAAAACAAGTAAGAAAGGGCTAAGATCGGATGTAATCGAATATTTTTTACTTTCGCAGGGTAAAGTGATATACGGGATTTTCGTATATTTTAATTAAAAGTAGGAAGTATTGCATCTAATATTTACAATCACAGCCAAGAAGATTCACTGTTATCAGAAAGAGATTCTTTCCAAATTTCATTAAGATTTCTTACATACAATAGATATGGCGGCTAAGGGAAGCATTGACCCGATTTGACCCATTTTTGGCACGATATTTCATACTAGAACTAACAGACTGACCGATATGTTCGGTAAAAAATCAGGCATATGCCTTGAAAATTTATAGTCCGATTTCGACTATTTTTGGGCAAAAGATTAAACACCTTAAGGAAACTATTTGTGCAAAGTTTTACTCTAACAACTTCATGGATATTTAATTTATATACTGTTAAATGAAAGAATCAGATGGAATTTAAAAGTTTATTATTTGTGAAGTAGGCGTGGGTGTCAACCGATTTCCATAGTGTACAATAGTAATAATTGGATAACCTCACACCACAAATTTGATTGAAATTGGGCAGTGCCACCCTCTTGTGCAATTTACACACCGCCTCTCATTAACGCCTTTTACAACCACATACAAGTATTGCGAGAGTATAAAAATTTATACTTTCATCATTCTTAGTAGAACCTGATATATTTTGCATTTATAGAGGTTTCAAACTTCAGTTGTGCTGTGAATTGGCGAAAAACTTTAAAGATAACCACTGTCAACTCCGAACAGCGGCCACAAAGTATATACATATTTGTGAAAATATTTCGACAGAAAAAATTACTTTGTTCCTTACTATTTAAGCATGTTGGTAAAAGCAATTTTCGCTAGATCGTATTGTTTTTAACAAATGCAGATATATTCAAATAAGTTCGCCTTTAACATAGAGGGGCAACACGTGACAAGCCTCGGCGTGGATATAATAACAGGTAACTTCAGAAGAACTTAGAATAAATACTTTTCATTTTTAAATCGATCGAACTTTAACATGCTTTCAAAGATGGTAAGCTTATTAAGTCTATATGTTTTCCTGACATTTAGATAAGGTTTTACATAACTCCATTAAAGGTTCTAACCTCTAAGTTGTTACGTCAGATTGAGTTATTGAATATTTTTCCGATTAGTAAGTTGAGTGCATTTGCATTTCCTTTTTTCGGGTAATTTTCAATATTTTTCTTTATTATGCTCTTCATTTGGTCATTTACGATAATATAATACGTCAGTATAATAATATTGACCGAGATTTTATTTCTTACCACTAAATAATGAAAGAAATAACTCAAGGCTTATATGTATTACGTGCAATCTATAGGTGCTAATACTCACTAGTAAGACAAAAGCTCACTACAATTCACATAAATATAAATAAAGTACATACATACATAATTTGTTAAAAGATGAAAATATCAATCTACAATATTTTTATATCCCAAACAGGATATATTAAATCTGCCACAAAGTTTGTAACACAAAGAAACATCGGAGACCTTATAAAGTATATGCATATATAAATGATCAGCGTGACGAGCTGAATTGATTTAGCCATGTCCGTCTGTCTATATGTATATACGCCTTAGCTTTTTAGATATCGATCTGAAATGTTGCCTACGTCTTTATCTTCTCAAGAAGCTTTTCATTTGTTGAAACCACCAACTGGCCAACCAATTTTAAGCCCTTGTATCAAAAACTTTTTTATTTGACAAGATATCGTTAGAAAATTTGGCATGGACTATTAAACAAGGTAGCATTACAATCTTCGAATATATTGTTCGAATCGGATTACTATAGTTAGGTATGATATAGCTGTCAAACAAACTGATCGATCCACATAATTTTATACCCTTTTATGCTATAAGAAATGCGCTTGTGAATGGTATTATAGGTTCGGAGCAATCGAAGTTAACATTTTTTCTTGTTTTAAAATATTTTTAGCAAAAACAGCAATACTACATATCTGATTATTACTTCATATTTCCTTATACCTATAAGTTTGCTCCGGCTAACCACGCTACACGTAATGCACCAGTACATAGAAATACGCATATACCATACATATATATAAATATATAGAATCATAAATATTTTATATCCTTCACAAGTATTTCCTTTACATACATTTGTTATTATTTTCGGTTGTGGCAACTTCCGCCAATGCAAAACTTTTATACACACATTTGGGAATTTGGGAATAGACATGCAAATAAATGGGTGACTCCTTTGTTTTGGTTTGCATTTTTAGTTTTGTTTATTTTTTCGAATTTTTAAACCCCTTAAATATACAATTGCACTACTAATATTATTACAGATACATTTATGTATGTACCAGTATATGCAGCATGTCGGCATTTTGTTGTTGTTGTTGCTAACATTGTTTTAATAAAATGCATTCACTATTGTTCTTAGTGCAAAACATTTGGGTTACCCTGAAATATTTACATTGTGGTTTTTAGTTGTATATGTAAAATATGTGTAAAATGCAGCAAATATAAACGAATATATTTATTTGAGTGTGTGTGTGTGTGCTTGTGTGCAAATTAAGATTTGCATATGACTAAAGGGATTTGGTTACTAAGGGAATTTTGTTATCACTTAAGTTATATTTTATTGTTTCTCATGTAGACACACATGTTTACATCTGTAGATATGTATACAAGTGTCGTAATAGTCATATTTATGTACTTACTTATTAACAAGTTTTGCATATTTACAATTGGCTTGATTGCATAAGCTGGGGGTGGCAGCATGCTCATTGGCTTTCGCAAAGTGTTCTTGCAATTGTCATGTCGATTTGACTTTCTATGATACTTACGATAATTTTGAAAGAAAACGTTCGTCTGATCTAGGTTTTTGGAACCTTATATGTGTAAATATCAAGTTTTGATGAAATTCTTTCAAAATCCTTATTTTAAATAATTTGATTTTGTAAAGATGTCATGTATTCTATGTTTAACTTTGTAAGCCTTCCCAATTACACATTTTTTTCACTATCCTGAGAAAAAAAATAAAAATGCTCCTTTCTTTTTAACCTCGAAACACTTGCGTCAGTTCTGAGTACACTCTATAAAATTACATGCTAACTAAATCATATAAGCAATATATTAATTCGGCAACTTTTTCTTGCTCAAGATAATATTCCCCTATGTTTCTTATAGACTTTCTTAGTACTTGATTGAAAAGCAGTGCAAAAAATACTATATAATTACGATACTCTCTACCAGATTAAGCTATCAACTTAACTCAACTTCCTTACAACCCTGTGCATCCAGATAAATCTGACTCTCGCTTAGCCACTGTTGCATTGGACTATCTACATACAAGTATACATCATTGCTTATACCTGCCTACAATAAGTACGAATAAAAAGTATAGATTTTCCGAGAAGATTGTGTAACTGCCTAACGATTATATAGGTTTATACATATAAAATACTACTTCACTCGGTATTGAATCACAGAGCCCACCCAAATAGGTTACAAATGAATTGTATTGATTCAAAGTGAGTTCCAATAGCGTAGTAGTCTGCAAGTGGATTTCCCCTTCCTTCCTTCTGTATTTTTCTTCTACAAAGGAGATTCTATTGTATAATATATATAATTAAGAAAGCACATGAGTAACTAATAAATTCGAATCATAATTGATGCCCGTTGAACTGTACTTTTGGTGTTTATTTTAGAAATGCTTTTCGAATCGAAATTGTCCTGATTTGTCGAGCTTTTAGGGCTTAAATTTAATTTAACAGAGATGCCTAATTTAGCTTTCCAAAATCTGTATACTTATATATTCATTATGGATCAGTGCAGAAGGTTTTGAAACTGGTAATAAAAACAAACAAAAAAAATCATAGTAGATTGAAACCCATCGGAAACGAAATATAAATTGGCAAACTTAATTATACAACATATATAACGCTCTACGGTAAATTTTCTCAGAATAAGCCCCACTAAACAGCTGTAAAACGATTAAAAGCTGCTTTTTTTGTTTCACCTACTTATTATTTCGTAGTAGCAGCTGTAAAAAAAAGCAGTATCGTTTAATCAGGTCTTTTTTTATCATTTTAGTGGATTAAATTTTTTTTTTTTTTTGTATGTAGTAGATTATATCAAAATACACAAAACTATATTCCTCAATACATATGATACATATGTTTCAATTTTGTATATAATCTTATTTAAAATGACCCCCACACATATGTGCATACAAGAGTATGCCTATAAACATACATACATATATGTTTACTGATGAATAATTTATGTCAATTTCTGCACAAATATTTGTCAATAATCTTAACTTTATTTGCCTTCACTTAATTACTTTATTTTATTAAATTAATATTTAATATTTTTATTTTGCAGCAATTACCAACAAATTCAACATCTCGGCTACGCTGGCCACGAGTTCGCCACCGAGAGTATTTCACAACAACAAGGACTTCAAGACAAAGGCTACGAGGAATGGGTTGGTGAAATGATTGGCATGCGTGAAATACTGAAGAGCTTCGCCAATGTGTCCGTCAACGATGTGGTCGGTATGCGTGCGCCATTCTTGAAGCCTGGACGCAACACTCAATATAAGGTAGGCTATTGCTGTTGCGCATGCAAATACTTATATAAACATAAAAATTTACATACCTAATATACGGGGGCGGCGTTTTTGGAAAAAATGCGATTTATTTCTCAACATAGTCCCTTTATAGCTTGATACACTTGACTGAGCGATAATCCCTTGGAAACCAAAAAAAGTTGCACGGAAGTTCATAGTCTAATTCGACCAATTTTACAATGGCTACGATGGAGTTGTGAGCCGGTGGGGGCCACTACCTTTCCGACCGATATGAAAGCCCTCGCATTTTTGGAGCAGGTTCGCCAAGTGAACGCCACTGTTTCGTGGTCTCTAATGTTTTGCAGACGGTCACGAAACGACGCTGAAACTTCTTCGGATTCTGTTTAAACAGCGTCTCACATTACTATGTATTTCCCTTCCAAAAACAGTAATCGTCCATTGCTCTTTTTCCATTTTTCTAAAATCTGTCTATCTCTATTCACCACGCTCAAAGTTTTTATGAATCCCAGACAGCTAATATCAATATCTCTTTTGTAACAATTATAAAGTTATCATCTAAAAAATATCTTCTCACAAACATAAATAGTCAATCACTCAAACTGTTCATCTCTGCACCACTGACCTAAGTGCCCTAGTGGTCAATATAAAAAAATATTTCCCCACATATTAAAGTGTATATATGAGATTTCAATTTCCTACTATTTGTTGATACATATTTTACCTGTCTGCTTTCTTTGTCCCCTCACTGTATATTTAGACTATTTTGATTGTGAACATTCATTGAATTATGCTTTGAACATTGTTTGTAAGGACTTGTAAACAAAATGCAATACTCGTTGGGGACATTGAAAACACAACTTGCCACACATATGCAGGTACCGCTCATGTATGTATTGATATATGTATGTATGTTTTCTCAAATTACTACGACGATTTCTGTGTACCCATTGGTGTAACCCACTTCAACCAACTCAAGATTGCAGTAGTCGACAATGAAAATTCACATATATCTTGCTGTTACATTGGAGAATAACATCAAATGGATTTTTAAGTGCTCCTGTAGCAATACTCAACATTCACTTGTCAACAGCTATTTTTACTCAAAAATTGCAAAAAGTTCAAACTATATCCCTTAGACAAGCAGAAAATTGTATAGAAGCCAAATGGAAAGTTTTTTCACCAATATTTTCTCTATTATATTTCATTCTCTGCTCAAACTCATTTCTTGATCTCATACCTCTCTCTCTCTTTCTTTCTCTCTATAAATATTTACCTAATATTTTATTACTCTGCAGTCAAATTTATACAAACTTAAGTGCAAACTTACATGTAACGCTTGCACAAATATTTTTTGTCAGTATTTTAGGTGAACTACAATAAAGCGTTAAGCCAGTTAAAAATTGCCGAAAAATTTATTGAAAGCAAATTGCATCAGATAAGGTGTGGATTGTTATAGTCTTGTTGTATAAGAGAAAATATTAAAAATTTGACAAAGAAGTGAAATTGGAATTTTTTAGAAAAGATTGAACTGGTAGAATAAAACGAGTTTAATGAAAGAACTTTTTACTCACACTCTAAGGTTTAACGCAATAAAACTGTTCCGAATTTGTTGTACACTGAAGAAAACTATCGAAAGCTTCTACTACAAAAGCAGTTCAGAAATCAGAATATAATAGTAGTTTATTGGTCATTGATCTTTATGATCATAATTTTCAATTATTTCCATCTGTTAAAATTAAATATTATACACGCAATTAGTTTATAAGGGTTCCATTCGCTTTCCAACACACATATCTTATAACACTATAGCAATATCTTCGCCGTTTTTATCGAACGCTGTTTTCAGAGGCGGTAAAAACAATTACTACGAAACGGCTGGACGGATCGACTTGAAATTTTTATACGACCTTCTTAGATGTATTTATCAGATCATGATTGAAGGAATATTTGATATTTTTTTCGATTTTTTAAACCATTCTAAAGTGTAAATTTAAAAAAATGATTTTTTTGGGAAATCTAAATTTTGTAAAAAATCAAATTTGAATTGCCTTGATTTTATTCATTTAAGGCAAGAGGCTACACTCTTATTATAAAGCGATTTTTTCTGAATTTCAATAATATTTCTTACATATTGACCGATAGATGCAGTATAAAGTCAACCGGAAGTTAGAAAATATTTATACTAGGTATATGGAAGCTAAGGGAAGTATTAGCCCGATTTTACCCATTTTTGGCACAAGAGCATGCTGTTATAACAAAAATATTCACTCCAAATTTTAAAACTAGATTTCACAGATTTTCGGGTAAAAATCAGCCACATGTACTGAGGTCTACATATTCGATTAGTTGGTCATTGGAAAGTTATAGTCCGATTTCGACAATTTTCGAGCGTAAGATGAAATACTTTAAGGGCACTATTTGTGCAAATTTTTATTCTGATAACTTCATTGATGTTTTAATTGTATACTTGTAAAGTAAAAGAATCAGATATAATTTAAAAGTCCGTTTTATAGAAAGTAGGCGTGGTAGTTATCCGCTCATTTTCACAGCGTATAATTGGAATGTTTGGATAACCTTATACACCAAATATGGGTAAAATTGGTCAAGTAGCTCCTGAGACATAGGATTTCACCTAAAGGTGGGCGACGCTACGCCCTTTGTCCAATTTTTATACCTGCTCTTACAAAGTCCTTTCCTGCCATTTCAATAGTGACTTAACCGTTATGTGAGGAGTGAGCGCTTTTATTATCTGTTTTTTCCTTTTTTACAGCATATAAAGGAGTGCTAAATATAAGGCAAATTTGGTTGATTCAGCTTTAGCGGTTTGGTAGATATGTAAACTATGTAGCGGACGGGACCGCGCCCACTTATAAAAAATCTTTATCCCACAAGTGTTCGTTGTTACTGTGATCTCTTGTAAAAGTTACATTTACAGTTTTATATCTTAATTTGGTTCTTAGTTATGGCACTTTATATTTTTTAACTTAACGGCACTTTGTGCGTGTGGCGATGGGCCAATTCAAGGAACACATGTACCGGGGAGATATCTCAATTTTTACTGAATTTATTGCTTACACAGACGGACGAAGGACAAGCAGACAGTCACTCGGATTTCAACTCGTCTTATCATCCTGATCATATATAAATAATCTTATATCTCTCTCGATTAGTTTAAGATGAAACAAACAACCGTTAGGTGAACAAAACTATTAAACTCTCTGTTGCACCATATTGCAAGAGTATAAACATCTTCCTCACTGCCAGACGCTACTAACTACTTATCTGTAGTTTTACTAGTGAGATAATGTGAAAAAATTAGCATAAACAACTTTTCTTCTGGCCAAAAAATGCTCCAAGTCTCTAAGAAAATTATTAAAAATAATATTTTTTAGAGATGACTAATAGCTCTCTCGCGATATACGTATAAAGAGTTTATTTTATCATGATGAGAACAGTTTTCCCTTCGAGCAGTTTTACTATCGGTTCCACTCGGCTTGCGGTTCGGCAATATTTACGTGATTTTATATGAAATTCTAAACTCATTGCTGTGAAGCTGTTTTTATTATAGGAACCTAAAACATATCGCAAACCATATTGAGGAATACTACTGAGTTGAGTGTACTTGGTTGGTTGAAAATTCGGATCCCTTCCTTACTCTAGAGGCAACTCTTAGTTGCCAGCTCAGCGCTCGGCTTTAATCCGCATTTTTACCAATTATGCTAGGTAAATTCTGTGTTATTTTTAATAGCCTATTAAAACTTCTTAGTGCCTTGTTGTGCAAGCCGAAGCAAGTCGAAGCAGCTGCATAAATTCAGAGGCATTTGTGGCAGGATTGTTATTTCCTCCGTATGACTTTAATTGAATTAAGTGCCACATGCAGTAGTTGCTAGCAACATTCCAATTCGTTGCACCGCAATAGGTATGAGTATGTGTCTAAGCACTACCACTACAACTACCACTACATTAGCGAATCGTGCAAAATTAAATGCATAAAACACACTAAACCACAACACCGTTAGTGTTGAGTGGTGAAATCAGTGCCTGCACTTGAAATTGTTGCACATGAACAGCTTCGAGCATTCGACGCATACAACCAATTACCTGTAAACAGGGCTATTAAACTAGCAACAACAATAAAAATAACCATAACAGCTACCAAACTGCTGTCAAACAAAGCACAGACCAACACAAACACACACACCTACACACGAGTGGTGCAGCACGAGCTTGAAAGCCATTTTCATGTTCATGGTCACATTTATTCTTGTTGCAACATTTTGTCTGCTCGTTTTTTCACAGCATTTACACCCACGTTTAACATTTTTACTGTTATTATATGCAATGTATTAAAAGTTTTGCTCTCTTTTACTCCAAACTTATGCACACAGACTACCCACGGTTGTATATTCGTAGCATATTCGCTTGCAATAAACACCATATTCAATTCTTCTGTCATATTCTTATTTCTTTTTCATGGCAAAACCACAAACTACCACTCGAACATGCATCACAAACCCACACATATCCACACACACATACGCACATACGCCCAACGCTGCTGCTGCATAATGGATGACTGCACTTGGCGCTTGACTCTCACAGGTTATCGAAGACTTCGGCTACATCTATGACAGTTCGATCACAGTGCCACCGGTTAACGTACCCATCTGGCCGTACACGCTCGACTTTAAAATCTCGCATGAATGCAAGAGCGGCACGTGCCCGTCAAAGAGCTTCCCCGGCGTGTGGGAGGTGCCACTCAACACTCACTATGTCGAAGGTTATGAGGGCGGTCACTGTCCCTATCTAGATCAATGTGTGCTCCACAATTTGGATGAGGATGAGGTATTCGCTTGGCTGCAGGAGGATTTCACACGCTACTATGAACAGAATAAGGCGCCCTACATGATGCCATTCCACACCAATTGGTTCCAGACGAAACCGCTAGAAAATGGCCTGCATAAATTCCTTGATTGGACACTTGAACTGTAAGTACCTGGCGGTCGTATATTTTAATTTATATTTACAGTTATGTAGTTAGATATCCATACCAACATTTGCTTAAACTTTAGCTTTTAATATTTATTTGCGTTCATGGAGATATGTGTAGAGAGGGGTTTAGATTGATTGAATTGTGTAAAAGGAACGAGTAAAGTATTAAAGCTTCAATCATTTCGAATTAATCGAATACTAGTGTTTAATCGACGTGTACTCACAAAAAATGTAACTTCTGATTATATCAGATACATGTTAATGAAAAAATCGTATAATCCGAAGCGCAATTACTTAAATAAAATTAAAATGCCTAAAAAAAACTTTCATTCCTTCTGCACCGAAACTATAATACCTTCAGAAACGCATTTATTGCAGCTACTGTATAACTAAATCTGAAATAATATGTTTTATGAGAACAATAATCCATGCCAAATTTCATGAAAACATCTTGTCAAATAAAAAAGGTTTCCATACAAAGGCTTGATCTTGATCGGTCAATTCGTATGACAGCTATATGCTATAGTGGAGCGATATCGGTGTTTCCGATAGAGGAGCAGCTTCTTGAAGAGAACCGGACGTGTATAAAATTTTATATCGATATATGAAAAACTAAACGACTGGTTCGCATGTATATCTACTCAGCTCAACATGATGATCAATTATATATATACTTCATAGGGTCTTCGACGTCGCAGGCAGAAAAGCTCCTACCATTAAAAACAAGAAACTTCTGGTCGCGAAATTCGATTTTGTAATTCAAGTTAGGAGTCGACGAAAATCTTCCTACTACTACAAGAATGGTATTTGTAAGATTGGTATGGCGCTTGAAAATATAGGTTGTCAAATATCTCCCTTCCGCTTTTTTGTCTTTTGAATTTCGCGGCTATGTACAAAGCGCTACAGAGCTCGTATCTGGCAACACTATACATAATTTGAAAGGTCTTGACATAACCTACAAAACAACGCTATGCATGATTAGTTTGGATATTGCGTTCAACAGTTATAGACGTGTAAACATGGAGTTCACTAACGCCGAAATTCGCGCTATTTTAAAGTTTTCCTTCGTTAAAGGCAAATCCGCTAGAGAAACGTTCCGTGAGATTAATGGTGTTTTGGGGGATGATACTCTATCACTTCGAACCGCGCAATGGTTTCGACGATTCAGAGCCGGTGAAAACGACACCATGGATAAGCCAGCCGGCGGAAGACCTGTGACGACAAATATCGATCAAATCATGGAATACATCGAGTTAGACCGGCATATGGCATTTCGTGACATCGCCCAGGAGATGGGAGTTAGTCACCAAACCATTTTGAACCATCTGCAGAAGGCTGGATACAAAAAAAAGTTTGATGTTTGGGTGCCGCATAATTTGACGCAAAAAAACCTTCTGGACCGAATCAACGCCTGCGATATGCTGCTGAAACGGAACAAACTCGTCCCATTCTTGAAGCGGATGGTGACTGGACGAAAAATGGATCACATACGACAATATCAAGCGAAAACGGTCGTGGTCGAAGGCCAATGAATCGTCCCAAACAGTGGCCAAGCCGGGATTGACGGCCAGGAAGGTTTTGCTGTGTGTTTGGTGGGATTGGAAGGGAATCATCCACTATGAGCTGCTCCCATATGGCCAGACGTTTAATTCTACCATCTACTGCGAACAACTGGACCGCTTGAAGCAGGCGATCGACCAGAAGCGTCCAGAATTGGCCAACAGGAAGGGTGTAGTGTTCCACCAGGACAACGCCAGACCACACACTTCGTTGATGACTCGTCAGAAGCTACGGGAGCTCGGATGGGAGGTTTTATCGCATCCACCATATAGCTCGGACGTAGCGCCAAGTGATTACCACCTGTTCCTGTCCATGGCGAATGCCCTTGGTGGTGTGAAGTTGAACTCAAAAGAGGCTTGTGAAAAGTGGCTGTCCGAATTCTTCGCAAATAAGGAGGGGGGCTTCTACGAGGAAGGTATTATGAAGTTGCCGTCTAGATGGAAACAGATCATCGAACATATATATATCGCACTCTGGACGATACTTTCCTTTTTTACCCTTATCTTGAGGTTAATTCAAAAATATTTCCTATCATTTTCATTGATTTTTGATACGTAGAATTACATGTCGATTACGGGCTCGTGTGACAAACACTTTCATGAACGATATGGCCAACACGTTATTTTCATATCTTTAAAGTATTAGCTATGTCTATCAACAACATTTTAAAATTTTTGAAACTTTCACCGTTATGAAATTTAAGAAACCGCTAATACTTATCAAACCGAACCAATTGGTTGTTTTCTGTGAAATTGGACCAAACTGCAGACCGTATACATTCTTGATTAGTGACCAAATTTCGAGATTAGGTGCTAAAACTAGTTCCAAAGAAGGTAGATCATACTTGGACCAATAAAGATAGTCGCCTTGAACCGAAAAAACTGTACTTATAGTTAGATATTAGGTCTAGACAAAGCGCTTTAAACCACAATCTGTTCAGATTTTTTCTTATATTTCCGCTAATTCATTTGGATGTATAAAGATGTTAGACGCAAGGTGTTTTTCTCTTAATCTCGCAAAGACGGGACATTTAAGAAGGAAGTATTGGGATGATTCTAGTGGTACCCGATAAATATTTTTAAAAATTTTATTAATAAACCATATAACTATTGAATGGCGAACTTTTCTGACCGCAAAAGGCTCATTGAACCTCTTACGATGTATCTCAGAGCTGACCAGTATTTTCCAAGCCCGCGTAAAGCCCAACCATCCAGTAGTAAACCGCACGAAACAGTGGTGCTCCTACTTGTTTCCATTCTCGCATTGAAGTACCACACATTGCATTCTCATCAACTATACAGATTCCGATCATTAATGTAACGAAATTCTTTGCTTTCCTGGAATTCTCCTCTCTTCGAAGCATGAATCTTCGGTCAGCTAAAAAAAATATATCAACAAGTTTACCACAATATTCCTCTCCTGGAATTTAATCTAGACAAATTCATCGCAAATTAATCTACTAAATCTTCCACTTGAAAACCGAACGTGCTCAATCTATAACACCAACCTCATAACAGAGAAAATCATTGTACCTATATCTCTAGCCCTAAAGTCACATAGAAAGCATCGCAGCCTACCAATTATTTAAAAAATTAATAATTTTTTTTACCATATTTATATTCCATTTAGAACCGATACCTGATAAATTATATCAATTAAGGGCTCATTGACTATATGTTACCCAAGCTCTTCCGAAATTCCTCAGTAACCTTCAGCATTCTCATGTTCAGCAGGGTTTCGGGTTTCGAAACAATCAAAGAGCCAATAGCCTTTGATGGGTCATTATATTCGAAAGACTTCTGACCATATACATACATTTTCTGGCTAATAACAACCGCCTGACACAAATCCTGAAGATTTTCGCTTCATTTCATCAAGTTAAAAGCTACACGAATTTAGGCAATAATTAAGGAGGTATTCTAGTCTAGAGACATGCATTTTAGGTAATTCTTAAAGTGTCGTAAAAAAAGGCAACTGATACATATATTTATTTATTAATGTTACAAGAGTACAGAAAAAAATTAAACAAAAGTTAAAAATTAAAAAAACTGGCAGCTGATAAAGTGGGGGGTCTCAAAAAATTGCAACATGAGCATACCCTTGATCCTCCTAGTCATCTGAAATGAAAAAAAAAACAAAAAAGATTATCAATCTGCCATGATGTCGCAATTGTATTAATTAGCGATAAGTAAAAAAAAATTTTTTTTTTTGACAAAATAGCGATTGTTTGGAAAAAGACGATTTATTTAACCATTTTTTTTTATTTTCTCGTTTTAAATTAGTGATTAGGCTAGCTCATACTCGAGAGCGGTCTGTAAAAATGATTCTTTGAAAATTTCAAGTAAATCGGTCTAGTAGAAATCGAGAAATCGTGGGTATCGTATTAAAAAAGTTTGGTCTGAGTAAAACACATTTAAAGTTTCGCGTAAATTCGTTTGTTCGATTAGACCTAGACGAACCAATTTGGAGGCCGGTCAGTAAAATGTCTATATCTCCTCTTGTAAACTCATTCTTAAATAGTTAAACTTTGAAAATATGAAAAAAATCGATTATTTTGAAATTCTACACTAGAATACCCCCTTAATTGAATGCCGAAAAAAACCTTTACACTTCTTACTCATTAACAGTCTCAAAACGTTTAACCTACATTTTAAAGCTGAACAACTTTTTTCTTCATAAATACAATTCGATGTTTAAATTTGCTTCCGGAAGAGTTACGGTTATTAAAATGTGCCTGCTTTTGCACTCTAAACTCACATAATTAAACTCAACTCCATCAATAGCACTAGGCAAGTACCGTTATTAGAAAAAATATAACAGCTTCACCACAGCAAAAATCAATTGTAATTAATTACATTCTTTTAATTATAACTACGCATAGTTTGCAAATCGAAAGTTATATATACACATATACATATACATATATATAAATGTATGAGTGCACCCAGTACTTACAGCCCGGCCGTACATATTCCAACATTTTGCCGCACTTTACGCCGCGCCATTAACCGCTAATGTTTTTGCACTCGTGCGCCTTCATGCCACTGACCAACAGCGTTTCGCACGTTTTAATGAGAAAAGTTTAACGGAATTAAACTTTCATTTTAAAATAACGCAAAACATAGTTAATGCAGGAAAAAACCGTTAGCAACAACAAAAACATCAGCAACACTCGCTGTTGCCCGAACAAAAAAAGAGCAAATAGAATTAACAACATGAAACTCGAACAACAACAACTACGAACACATAAAAAAAAGTAACGACAACGCAGAAATATGCGAAAAATTTACCTCAGTAATGTAACGGATGCGCATGGTGTGGTGAACTTTGAAAGCGATATGGCCTAAACCGCCGCCATGTTAAAATGGCGCATATATTGTTGCTTAAACTTCGGTAATGAAGTTACACCGATAATGGCGAACGCTACTGGAGAGGCCGTT